TTGACTAATTTCATCACTCTTTCAATTAATATCTACCAATATCCTTCAAAACTAATATTTCAAGTGCCACCTTTCGGGAACTTTTACCCTAGAATATGTTTTAGCAGTCAGATTTTTGTTAATAATAGTACCCAACCTTTCTTTTTGTGTGTGTGTGTGTTGGAGTCTCACTCTGTCGCCCAGACTGGAGTGCAGTGACCGCAGCTTCAACCTACTGGGCTCCAGCGATTCTTCCGCCTCAGCCTTCCAAGTAGCCAGAATTACAGGCACATGCTACCATGCCCGGCTAATTTTTTTTTTAAATTTTATTGTAGAGATGAGGTCTTGCTGCCCAGGCAGGTCTCGAACCCTCGGGCTCAGGCAATCCACTCACCTCAGCCTCCCAAAGGCGCAAGATTACAGGCTGAGCCACCGAGCCCAGCAGTACCCAACCTTTCTACACAATTAATCAGTTGATAGCTATTGAGTTATCACCACCTCTATTATAAGAATCACCAACCATGACTGAGGAATTACGTAGATTCTGCAAGGGCAGAGGTAGTTTTGGGTATACTTGGGTGATCATGGCATCCTCAGTGCTTGCCATGGTGCACAGTAGGCACACAGATATTTGCTGAATGAGCAAAGGAGTCGTGTAGACCTAATTCATGGATGTGAATAATTCTCCCCCCTCCCCATTCCCAATGCTATCTTATTTACAAAGAAAGTCCAGAAGAGCCATAGGCCAATGAGGTTTCCAGAATAAATGGGATTCATAGTAAATCACATTCCAGTTTCACTGCATCCAATTTCTCCTTGGATCCTAAACCATCTTTCATACGCATCCAATGAGTGGAATGTTGGTTTGTAATAAAGAAACTGACTTTTTTGACAGAGGGTGTCCTCTGGGTCAAAATTAGAGATTCAACACATTATCTCACCTAAGCTGTGGAATAAGGACAGAATCTATGGGAGGACAAATGCCAAGACTGGGCTTAAGGTAAACTGCAATGAAAACAAGTTTTTTTTCAACTACCCTTATCAAAGGTAAGTATAGATTTTTGCATCTATGCTCAGAGGTCATTAAGCCTTGAGACTCTAAGGAAGATTTATTATATTACTATGGATGAATGAATCAATGATCAATGGACTGTCAATTTCATCTATCATCCTGAATCCAGGCAATGTTTAATGTTAGCAGTCCTTTAAAAAATTATTTAAATGCCCAAACCCAAACAATATGTTATTTTCCAACCTATTAGGAAAAAAATCCTCAAATCATGACATTACAGAATAATTTGGGAAAAGGAACCATTATTATCAGTCAATGTTTTTCGGTTTTTGTTGTTGTTGTTGTTGCTGTTTTGGGGTTTTTTTGAGTTTGAGTCTCACTCTGTCGCCCAGACTGGAGTGCAGTGGCTGCTCCTGGCCACCACAAACTCGACCTGCTGGGCTCTAGCAATCCTTCCACCTCAGCCTTCCAAGTAGCCAGAATTACAGGCATGCGCTACCACACCCGGCTGATTTTTTTTATTTATTGTAGAGATGAGGTCTCGCTGCCCAGGCAGGTCTCGAACCCACGGGCTCAGGCAATCCACTCACCTCAGCCTTCCAAAGGCACGGGATTATAGGCTGAGCCACGAGCCCGGCTATCCGCCAATGTTGAAAGGCATAAAAGGGAGAAGGTGTTTGTGGTATAATGAAACTATTTTTATACAAAAAAAATTGCTCATGCTGTCACGCATGGTTATATATTATCTAATATAATTTATAAAACTTTGGAAAACAAAACACATTGTCTGGTTTGAAGGAAAGAGAAATGTATCTGCTTCTAAGTAAAGACCAAGAAGTCTTGTCTTTTTATGTTTGATTATTATAGTCTCTCAACAAAATGTGTGACAAATATCTTGACAAAGATTGTGTGCTATTTGGGGTCTGAGAGACAAAATGGAAGATAGTGATTGGGTACTGAAACATTAGAACTCTTGGGACCTAAATTTACAGCAGCTGGTCTTCATACTGTAACTTGTCCCTGACCTGGAAAATCTAGGTTATTCAATTATTAAGTAGTACAAAGCCTGCATTCTCTATAGTTTTACATCTCTCAAGATTGTATTAGAAGGGGTTTCAGGAAATCCTCTTTTAAGGTCAAGCTTTCCCAAAAAATCAAGTGTGACTTTGTAATAAGACTTTCTCCCTTTTTTCACCAGATTGTTCCTGATGTATTTAAAGACTGGAGGCTGTACATCTAAAAAGGACAGTAAAGGTTGCAAGTAATGAAGCAGTTTGAATGCTGGTACATACACCCTGTCCGACAGCAAGGGCAGTACTAACTTTTTTGGAAGTATATTCAGTGGGTCACCTGGCTGTTCATCACTGAATATCCAGTCACTCTTTTAAAAAAAATTATTTTAGGGTCGTGGGGTACATGTGAGGATTTGCTACATAAGTAAATTGTGTGCAGGTGAAGTCTGTCTTCAAGCAAGCCCTCTCCCACTCTGGTAGTGGACGTGGTGCCCAATAGGTGCCACTCTGGCTAAAAGCCAGGACACTTAAGCAGCACCATTAATCTAGGAGTTCCATGGTTTTCCCTCCAGGATGACTGAGGTAATGGGGTCTTCAGCTGGCCCAAACCACTGCTCTGAACCCTTCTCAGACCTGCAATTCCTCCTGACCCTAACCAAAGCAAGGCCTGCTTGTGGGAGTTGTGCAGCTACTGGAATAGCACGTAACCCTGCTTTCCCCAATGAGCTGGGGACCCTCCCATTCCCCCCCCCCCCAGATCTGGAAGGAAGGAGCATGATCTAGGCTTGCTTTTACTATGTGTCTGGGTGTGGTCTCTCAGAAGAGGCAAAAGCACTTAAACCCGGTTTCATGTTAGGAACTTGAAAATTAGTCTTTAATGAGAGAAGCATTGAATGCTTAATGTTTAATTTATTACTTTTGTAATGTACAGCTCCAATCTCAGATCATATATACACCAGTATACATAGATGGGTATATGTTCATGTTCATTTTGGAACACAAAGTGATTCTCACCGATTCATTTGGGGAATCACAAACAGGGACAGTGCCCTCCAGTCAGTAACGAGTTAAAAATGCCTTCTCTGCTCTCCACAAGTTTTCCGCAGTATTTTGAGTTAATTCATTGAGTGTCTTCAAGAGCAGATTCAAAATCAACTAATATTTATTGAGATCTGTCAAGGTCCCGGGCTCCATGCTGGATTTTACATATGTAGTGCTATTTAATCTTCACAGCAATCCCAGTCCATCTCTCAGGTGGGTGTTATTTCCAGTTGCAGATGAAGAATGACCTCTCCAAAGATATGGCTCAGACTGAGAAATAATAGTGGCAGAACTGCTTAAGTTACGTCCTCTAACCAAGCCAGTCCCCTTCCAGGAGATTGCCCTCTATAGGCCAGACCATAAAAATATGGGAACCAATAGGAGAAAGTGGGCATGACCAAGAAGCCAGGCCTAGACAGATGGAACCAATTCAAGCCAAATGAGACTGAGGGCATCTCCAAACAATGCCAAAGATTTTTCTGGATTCATCTCCAAGGGTATGCTACTAGCTTCTGAAAAGCTTATCAATCTTGGAGTTTAGAATATATCATGCCATCGTTTCTTTCTATGATATCCTATCAGACAAGTTTTAATTGGAGCTGAAAACTAAAAGCATTAAATCTTGTGTCACATGACACTGATTAAGCAAAAGCATACGAAGCATTTCCCACTGCTGTCCTCTGTGAAATAACTAATACTTTTAAGGTAAAAAGGAAAAAATACTCTTATTTTCCTTACTTTGATACCCACAAGCTCTGTTTTCCCTTAACAGTTGCTATTCAAAATTCCTATTTCTAAAACATGTTTTTCTGTTACCACATGATACATCATGGTATAAGGATACTTAATATGCAAATTGCTTGCATAACTTAATATTATCTTTCCTCCTGTTGCTCTTTAATTTGGCATCAAACAGCTGAGGTTTGAGGTTTTAATCAAAGAGCATTGAATGAGGCAATCTATAAAATCAGATGAGGTGTTTTTTTTTCCAATTGTTGCATTCACTGTTCATACCTACCAATATTTAAATAGTCTTAGAAATAGATTAACTGATTGCTACCTCCACAGTTTGATCATGTCCAAGTGCAGGCTTATTTTCAAGGGGTACAGTCCAGTGGAAGAAGGGAGGTAGTTATCTCTTTAAGTCTCATTTTCATCATCTGTAAAATGGAGATAATAATAGTGCCTCCTTCCCATGGCCATTGAAAGGATTAAATGAGATAATCCAAGGGAGGTTTCAGCCAAGGGCCTGGCACACAGCAAGTGCTCAACTCTTATTAAGATGATGAATTTGAGAGCCCAGACTGAAATGTTACTGCTGCTACATATTTTAAAGCAAAAAGTCTAAGAACAATATTAATCACATGCTTAGTCAAAACGGAGCAAAAGCACACAGAAGCGACAGTCCCGGCTCAGCCCAGGGACTCACCAGGCCAGGAAACTGATTTCCCACATGGTGCGTGCCTGAATCAGGCAGCTAAGATAAGCAGTCGTGGTCAGTGTTATAGGCATGGGGGAGGGGAGCAGCTGGTGAGGTTCTTGAGTCAAGGAAAAGCATGTGGGCCTCCAGTCAAGGCTGTGGTGGAGGTTAGTGGAGGGAAGGCAGAACTTAGGACCAGACTGGCAGATGATCAGATTAGAGAAGACAGAAAATGGTCTAGGCAGCAACAGCAATAGATCAAACCTGGAGAAAGAAGACTGGGGTGCAACAACCTTGAACTGATCAAGCAGGAGGCGGGGCCAGGAGAACTCCCCAGGGAGACTCCTTTAGACAACATCTGACTTGGACTAAAGGCTTTTGTCACAGAAGTTCCAGATGGACTCAATGGTTGTTAGAGGAAGCTCATTTCTTTATAACAGACTCAGTGTGGACCAGGGGTCATCCTTTTCCCTCCATAAACCTGAGGTCCACTCCTTGGAGGAGAATGGGAAAGCCAAGTCTTCCTACCCGGAGCTCACTGAGGGGGTGTGTGTATATAAAGGTGGAATAAATTTACCTTCCTTTCATTGGGCAGCTTGTCCCAAGGGGACTGCAACTCCCTAAAGATGTACAGATGAGTCTTCCCCAAACTGGAAAACTGATGCTTACAAGAGATACAACAAGCTTAGCAAGCAATGCCAGAGGTTTGCCTAAGCATAGAGGTTTTCTAAAAGTATGACTTGAATAGTTTACCTGACAAACTGGAGACTTGGAGACACCGCAACATCTTATATTTTTCGTATTTTCTTTGTACATATAGTGTTCTATCACAGTCATCATCTATATTTAAGTCAGGTTTTTTTTTGTTTGTTTGTTTCCCCAATCCCCCCAAGTCAGTTTTATAGTCAATCCTCAAGTAGAATTCTCCGCAGGGTCTGCTTACTTTCGGACAGCTAATTCCAATAGTGCCCTTTGAAAATTGGTTTTGATTCTCATTTTTTATAAGAAGTCTGAATCAGACTTTCACATGCCAAAAAGAATCGTCCTTGTTCCAGGAGCACAAAGCTGAAGGATAGTGACACAGTCAGTTGGGCCACGGAATGCCACTTCCAGTCTCTTACAGGAAAGTCGATTGCTAGGGATGTTTGAGGGAGGAAATCTCCTCTACTAAAAAGCAACAGGCGACCTGGAATCTAAGCTAAATTAAATGAGGTAAGCCACGGTGTGCAAATGAACTTGATGGCTCACAAGCGGGAAAGAATATGCGTTTATGCACAAAACACGTGTGCTAGAACCAAAGTGGTGAAGCAGTCAAAACACAGAGCAAATATATATTCTTCTAGGATTTCAACAAAACCAAAAGGCTAAGCACTCTAAAACAACACTGAAACCTTTAGAAAACACTGGGTTCAGCAGCCACTGTTAATTGCCTTGAATCAGGACCATGAGAAGAAACAAAGACAATAAATCCAAACCTTTAACTCACAAAGTGATTTCTCCTATTGAGTTTCCATCATTCAGATCAAATCTTCAAAGTCATTCAGTTTGCACTCTCTATTGGCATTCACAGCAAAGATTTCCTTCCGAAACACTCAATTTTCACTTTCTTTTTTACTGACAAATCATGAGTTGTGTGCAAACTCCAAGCTGTCATTTTCCAGTGTGGCTCACAAGTGCCCTCTAGTGACAGTGAGGTTACTTAGAACAAATCATTCCCGCCAAAAAATTGTCTTAAGGAGTGAAGATTCACAAAATGTTCAATTCTGCTGTCGGTTAAAAATAATCTTCTTTTATTTGCACCACTATAAGTTCAACCTACTCCCTATTTTTAAAAATCAATATCTAAATAAGACTCTGGTATCTCCTGAAGGAAGGAAGTCACATTTGGCAATGTCTGTCCTGCAACCCCAGATGGTAACATATTCCCAGGAGCGGAGTCCACTGTCACGTGGCACAACTCAGCTTTGTCCAGCGTAGGGGTCATGCACTTGACCCTGGAGGCATTTCAGTTGCAACCCCTTACTGTCTGAACACTTTCAACTCTTCCTGCAACGGTCCCCTTTCTAGTCCTTATAGCCCACCTAGCTAATCTTGTCATATAGCCCTGCACAGCACTGCTCAAAAGCACATGCTGAAAGAAACACAATCTTACAAAGAAGATTTTTTAAAAAGACAACCTCAGTAACAGAGGCACGAGAACTCACAAATAAATCTAGGCTGATTTCCAGTGCAATCCATTTCCTCCCGACTTAATCAAGTTCATTTTGTGTTTGTGAATGGTATCTTTGTTTTGAGGTGACAAACCCTCACCATGGTTCCCATGTCATGGTGACAAATAAGCAGCGTAGATTCTCACTGCCACAAACCACCTGCTCACATCCCAAAATTTCTCTCCTGGAGTCAAAGCCCAGGTTACCAGTTGGGTGGCAGCGAGTCAGGCTGTGAAAAAGGAAACGTGACACTCACAGGTGTGCTGCTGTCGGAGAAGGTGTTCATGCTGACAGAGCTGCTCAGTTTGTCTAAGGACACGGAGGGCGGTGATGGACTCCTCTTCTCCAAGGGGTCCTGTCGCTGCACGTATTCACGCCATGCCCGCTGAATGCTGAAAAAGATCAAGGTCAGTACACACACGCTCATTCCCGGGTCACAGCCCACAGAAAAGCACAAGGAGTCTAAAGGAATCCACTTAGAGGCAAGGAAAACATAACACAAAGACCTGAACTTGAACTCATTTACAGCCACTGAGACTCTGTCCCTACTTTACTAGTTTGGCTTTTGAAAACTTGTCTAGGTTAAATCAACCTAAAAGAGTCAGCTTAGGGCCCTTTGTGGTGTCTCACGCCTGTAATCTCAGCACTTTGGAAGGCTGAGACAGGAGGATTGCTTGGAGTAAGGAGCTTGAAACTAGACTGGATAACATAATGAGACTTCGTCTCTACCAAAAAAAAAAAAAAAAATTAACCAGGGTGGTGGTGCAAGCCTGTGATCCCAGCTACTCGGGAGGCTGAACTGGGAGAATCCCTTGGCCCAGAAATTAGAGGCTGTAGTAAGCTATGACCGTACCATTGCATTCCAACCTCAATGACAGAGCAAGATCCCATCTCTAAAAATAATAACAAAAAATAAACGTTTTTAAAAGAGTCGACTTAGAGAAAGGAATCAAAGTCAAACTAGTTTGCATACTCAAATGTACTTTGGTTTATGGTTCACAAAAATATTTCCATTTTCCAACTCATATTTCAAATAAGAATAACAAATAGGTTGGCTATTCCTTGTTCATTGTTGAGGGTCCCTTCTATGCCAGAATCAGCCCTGAGCTCTGGACAGGGACTCTGATGCACAGCTCCAAGAGAGTCCTTGGTATAGACTTCAAGGTGAAGGGTCTCAGTGACACTGTGTCTGCATGGCCAAATACAGAGGTCCTGCTCTGAGGACAAGACCGGCAAGAGCACTGCGGTCATGGGTTTTACATAATATGGAAGGAAACAAGTAATGCACAATACACAGAGAAATGAACAGAGAAGACAAAGTAACTGAAAGTCTCATGTACTATTCAGAGAATGACTGTAACATGTGAGTAGGTGGAGACTGTAGATTTCACCTGAGTAGGTTCTTTACTGCCTGTGATGGGTATCAGAAAAAGTCATCTCCTGCTTTGGATAATAGAAACCCCTTCTTAGTATGAGATAAGTGATTTTTTCCCTCTATGGACTGGCTCCTAATTTTTGAGATTAACATCTAGGTTTTTAAAGGTGGTCAATGAACATAATCTAACCTCTCCCAGGGGTTAGCTGGACATACCGACCAGTTGTCAGGACTCAGTCTTTTAAAATAACTTAAAATTGTTGTACTAATTCCATCACTATCTCCTTTAGACTCCTGAAAACATCTGGTCTTCTGTCATTTTTTCACATACAACCTTAATCAGTAAAGTTGTTTTTGTATATACAAACATTTATTTCCACTTAGTTGGAATGGTTCAAAGATTATCAATTTTCAGTAATCACAGGATATAAAGAATACAAAAATGCTACCACCTATTGAATCTGTATGTTTTCCCTGATTTATTAAGGCTCTGGGAATATTTCTGGGAATGTCCAGAAGTTGCAGTGAAAACAATACCTTTGGGTCAGAGGCCAATTCTCTGAAGTCAGGAAACTCAAACATTAAGGGCTCTTACCTAGAGGCCAGGAGCCTCTTCCAAGACCACAGGGGGTTTCTTCATGATTTGTATACAATTTCAAAAATATGATATTTTTTAGTGTTTTTTTTAAAGGACCCTCCAAATTATGGATACTTCAAGCTGCACAAAAATTGGATCTGATCTTGATTTGCATTATATTCGGACATTAGTTTGTTATTCAATGCTTGCTCAAAGTGCATTTTTATCTGTTTTTCTTTGACTTCAGGATTTTAAGCAGAATCTGAAAATCCTACAAGATTACCTGCCTGAGCATGGTACTCTTATTTCTTCTCCAGGACCTATTTCATTAGAGAGTAGTGAACTTTTGGAAGCCGTAAGTCATTTCCAGGCTGCCTGGGGTACCCTAGAGCCCAGCTAATGGGTTCTGCCCTTGGAAGGCACCTAAAGTCTGTACACCTACCCCTCAAGGACCCAAAGTGTGCAACATTTCAAAGGCAGTTTGAAAATTAGAAAATATTTATCTAACCCATAGAATGCCCACAAGTCTGTAAGACTTTGAGGTGTTCTACATTATCCTTTTTCTTTTTTTAAATTGTCTTGATTTTCAGAAAATATAGAAACAAGCAGTGACTATTTGAGGTATTGCACTTTAGCTCTTTGAACACCAGAGGGCAGTAAGACACCTTTAAAGAGCCAAACAATGGTAGGCAAAACAGGTGAGAAGTTTGCAAAGGTGAATTTGCACCTGTGCGTCCCCTTCTCCCTCCTAGTTTTGTGGAATCTGGAAAGTGACATATCAATTCTCCTGAAGTCAGATATTAAGAAGACAATTTCCTTCCTAGTGATGGATATTCTTTTTACTTTAAATTGATGACAATATTAAGTACCGTTAAAATATGTATTAAAACATCTACAAACCAGCTGATTTCCTTAATACAAGATATAATTTATTTTTGAATATTTGCTTTGTAGTCATTGTGCACATGTATGAAAATGATTTTATTTAGTTGGAAGGTTATTGCACTATCTTCTTATTTTTTCAAACTTAATATGGGATGATATGCATGTCTCCTATGTGCTACTTGTCTTTTGTCATTAGTCTTTAGGATTGGATGACAACTGGACAAGTCTTTAAACTAGCACCAGGAGTTAGGAATGACAGGCCGGCCAGTCACGTCCCACCAGACTCTGACTCTAGCTTGCTACATTGTTTTTTGAATGTTGGAACCGTGCTATTTTACTCAATGTCATAGAAAAGTGTTGACATCATGCACTAATTTACTCCTGTGGCCACGACCACAAGGTTAATATTAATACTATTAATCTCTCTTAATGCCATCTCCAAATTCTATCTTACTGTAAGAGAAATTAAAACAAAACATAAGAATCACTTTTCAGCCTCTTCATCCCAGCTTCACCATAATTCCCACTCACAAGTCTCCTTTATGGCTACAGAGCAAATTGCAGACTCCCTTGATGATTTGTTTTTGAAACTGAGCAATGCTATCAATATAATTCTTCAAAGATATTGAGAAAAGAAAGCATATTTTGTGTGTTCCTATGTTTTGGATTACAAATAAAGGGAAGGGGCTTACTTCTAAGCAGATGATAAATGGCAATTTTTAAGCAATTTCTTGGTGAGGATAATTCCTATCCATCTCCTCTCATATTGGGGATGGCATAGTCCACCTGCCTCTGCCTTTTCTCTAAATGTCCCTTATGTGTTTCAGGGCAGGTGACTCCTTCAGGCACCCACAGCCACTTGGCAGATCCCACCTGTGCAGTCCTAGTTGCCAGGGAGTGAATGTCCTTACACAGAAGAGTAGAAGAGAAAGCTCTCAGAGCACTGGGATGCTCAGAGAAGGTTTGGGGGAATGAGGCCTTGAAGGGTAGTATTTTAGTGAGGCTTAAAGGATGGATGGGATTTAGATTGATAGGGAGGAAGAAAAAAAGGCTTTTGGGTGAAGGCACAGAGGTGAGGGCACCAGGCAGGAAAGAGTGGGAGACACAAAGCTGCGGAGACAGGAAGGGAATCCCAGAGGCCACCTGGGCCAAGTGGGGCAGTGTGTCAGCTGGGCAGTGAGGGAGAGGTCTGTCTTGGCACAGTTCATTGTTGCCAGATGTTTTAACTTTTCAAGCCTAGCCAGAAATCTGGATTTCTTATGACAAAGTTATTATGTCTTATATGTTACTATATCACTTAAAAATGTTTAAAATACATCATACCCCAAGCAGATTGAAATTGGGAATGACCAAAAAGGGAGACACCATCCAAGGGGACACATGGTATCTGAGTGTCTTTGGAAACTGTCACTAATGTACAAGGGGGGGACCTGAAAAAATAGGAATTGTTTTTTGGAGGGTGGGCACCTTGTAGTATAGACTTCCTCCACTGGGTAAGCATCAGTGTACCAGCTAGCATTGTTGTGAGAGGCTGCTTTTGGCTTCAGCAATTTTTTATTTAGAGATTCAATGCATTTTCCCATTTCATGATGGGTGATTTATAAGTGGACCTGTCCACACCCCGCCAAATATACAGCAATTTTTGACCAGAAATGGCGTGACTCCTGTGCCCCACCCTCACTATTCACCTCATCTCACCTTTTTTGCTTATTTCCCCAGAAGAAAAATGTCCTCAAAGGGAAATATTTTGCTGATATGGGAGAGGTAAAACAAAAACAGCAGAAGTACTAAAAGGCATCAAAACTAATGAGTTTTAAAACTGTTTTGAGCAGTAGAAAAAGCATCTTGATAGGTGTATGGAGAGTATTTTGAAGGTGACTGAAGATGAACATGTAAGAATAAATACACAATTTTCAATAAATAAATCCTGTGGGATTTTTTTGGGTCCTCCCCTCATACATTCAGCTCTTTTTGTATTTAGTCTCCACTCAATCCTCACCACAAGTGCACTCTGAGAAAGATACTATGATTATCACAGTGGTAGAAGATGCCTGTCCAGCGGCCCGGGGTTGGTAAAGCCTCCAGTGGGCTCGAGAACACCGGCAGCCGGTCTCTTCTGGCACCCCCACCCCCCCAGGGGCTGGAACAGCTAAGGGACCTTCCAGATCAAGAAAGCCCTGCTCCAGTCCCCGCTCCTTTTGGCTCAGATCTTAACATGAACTTCCCAGCAGGGACAAACCTTGAAACAAGGAGTTGGGGGTAGGGCCTGCTGCATCCTAGAGAAAGGTACACGATGGCCACTGGGAGCCTGCCTGGCGCAGGCCCAGAGCGTCTGCCCAGCCTTCTGGCCCAGGAAGGAGAGTTTGAAAGAAGAGGCTTAGCATGAAGGGGAGTTGAGGAGGAGGTTGCGATTTGGTCGAAGGTGCCTGGTTTAGTGCCGTAATTGTCTTATTTTATATATATATATTTCTTGGAGTAAACATTTTAAATAAACAACATCATTGTTTACTCAAAAAAAAAAAAAAGAAGATGCCTATCCAATATTCATGTCACCT